GCTTGATGCCACGAAGGGTGGGGGGAGTAAACTGGACTGATCCCCAGACTGTCAGCAAGGCTTTGAAAATCTGAAGGCCCTATTTACCTCCGAGCCCATCCTCCACCATCCCAATGAAAAGGAAAAATTCATAGTCCAGGTGGACGCCTCTGATGTGGCAATGGGGGGGCATTCTGCAAAAGGGAGGGGACGGCAAGTTGCACCCCATAGCATATGTGTCCAAGAAATGTTCAGGGGCAGAGAGAGATTGGGCAGTTTGGGACAAGGAAGCAGCGGCCATTAAGCTGGCGCTCACGACATGGCACCATTGGTTGGAAGGAGTCTGCGTGCCTTTTGAGGTGTGGACTGATCATAAAAACCTAGAAGCACCCTTGCCACCTCAATGCTAAACAAGTGCAATGTGCCAAATTCTTTTCAAGGTTTCAGTTCACCATCAAATACCTCCCGGGGAAATCTAATTTCCTGGCCAATGCTTTATCCCGCCTCCCACAGCACACCATCCAGAGGGAGGAGGTGACTGACACTGTCTTCTCCCTGGCGCAACTGGGAGGGGCGGTGCTGACACGTAGCCAAGTAAAGAAAAGGGGGGGTGGAAAGCCCGGGATGGCTGGAAAAGTCTAAAGCTGCCTTCTCGGTGCAGGACCTGTATCTGGTGGTGCGGGAAGGTCTGCAGCATCAAGAAAATGGCACATGGTGTAAAGGGGAGAAGGTTTATGTACCCATATCCTTGTGGAGTGACATTTTCTCTCAAGGCCATGATAATAAGCTTTCTGGACATTTTGGGTACCTAAAAATCCTGCACCCCATTCAGAGGCAGTTCTGGTGGCCAGGCATGCGTAAAGACATTTCAACCTACGTGGCCACTTGTCAAACATGTATTATGAGTAAATGGAGGTGGGGAAGGTTCCAGGCCAGTTGCAACCCTTGGAAACCCCCAAACACCCCTGGTCCATGATTTCTATGGATTTTATCACTGATTTACCAGCCAGTCAAGGGAAGACAGTAATCTGGGTGGTAGTGGATCTTTTTTCCAAACAAGCTCATTTCTTACCATGCAAAAGCTTACTCACTGCTAAGCAATTGGCCACCCTCTTCCTGCAACACGTGATCAGGCTGCACAGTTTGCCCCGGAAGGTCGTGAGCGACTGTGGCACCCAATTCATTGCCAAGTTCTGTAAGGAACTCATGAAACTCCTTGGGGTTGAGCGAGGGGTGAGTAGTAGTCACCACCCTGAGATGGATGGCCAGACTGAGCGGACTAACCAAGTCCTGGAGCAAGTATTATGGTGTTATGTGAACTATCAGCAGGATAACTGGGTATCTCTGTTACCATTTGCCAAATACAGCTACAATAACTCGGTCCACAGCTCGATTGGAATAAGCCCCTTCAAGACAGTTCACGGGTATGAAGGGGGGCCTCTTCCTCTGGTCGACTTAACTCAGCCTATCACCAGTGATGCGCAGCTATGGTGGTCTAACGTTACAAAAAATTGGGAGGTACTCCAAGAGACTTTAGAAAAGGCCAAAAAGGACTATAAGAAGTATGCTGATGGGAAAAGATGCCCAGAGTGGGATCTTGCCCCTGGTGACTCTGTGTACATTTCTACCAAGCATATAAAGGGACTGCAGCCCCGCCAAAAGTTGGGGTGGAAATACATAGGACCCTTTAAGGTTGTACGCATCATTAACAAAGTTGCTGTTGAACTTGACCTGCCTAAATCTTTGTGGTATTTGCATCCTGTGTTTCATTACAGGCCCTTGAAATGGGACCCAGGACCTTCACCCTGGGCACACAAACCTCCAGCTTTACCTCCTCTTCCAATCGATGGGGAACCCCACCATGTAGTCGAAGAGGTTTTGGATTCCAGTTTGTTCCGAGGATAGTTGCAGTATCTGATCAAATGGAAGGATTTTGGTCCTGAAGAAAATGAATGGGTTGCTTCTAAGCATGTGAGGAGCCCCACCCTTCTTCGTTTCACAGAATATATCCTGATAAGATGGGGGAAGGGTGAGCTTGAGGGGGGCGGTATGTCAGGTTCAGGTCCGACACCTAGACAGATATGCATATGCTGTCTCTAGGTATTTTGAAGGGGGAGAATCTGTTGCATTTAGCCATTTAAAAATAAACAAGGAGTCCAAATTGTAGGCACCCACTTCTTTACTGTTCGATTACCAGTGAGAAAACAGTGGGCTCTAGAGAGCCAAGGAGATCCCCTCTTCCCATGCCAATTCTCCAATTCAAACTACAGCCTCAGTGGCTACATTTAAAAAATAAACCAGGAGTCTCAAAACTAACAAAATTTATCCCAGCATAACTTTTTGTGAGCCGGAGCTCTCTTCATCAGATGCATTCGAATGTAAATGTACCAGGATGAATTTATATACACTACAAAAAGGTGAATGGGGGGTGTAATATCCAGTACAGTATGAAATGAGATAAGCAGATATAATAAGAAGCTATAGTGGTAGGGCTGAAGTAATTAGAATCCAAGATCAGTAGATTTCTGGTATAAAGTGGAGCTTCTGTGTCCATAATGCAACTGTACAGTAGTGTCTAGAAAATGTACCTGTTATGTGGATGGAATCTTAGTTAGAATGATGGTGGGATCAAAGTTGTTAATATGCATAACAATTAACAACCCGCCATCCACCTAGCCATGGATCAGTCCATAAAGCATGGACACTTTCTAGACACTACTGTACAACTCCATGACGGACAAAGAAGCAACACATTAGACAGCAAATCCACTGGCTACCATACATATCTACATGCTTCCAGCTACCACCAAAAACCTAGCAAACAATCCATTGTCTCTACTCAAGCACTATGTTAAAACTGCATTTGTTCTAGCCACTATGACAGTGACTCTTGAAAGATTTATGGCAGGCATTCTTCGTATTACAAAATCCACCCAATGAAGCAAAGAAACAGAGTGGCAAAGCCAGAATAGTACTCAGAAACAGACTGCTGTACAACAGACCAATGCAGTGAGCAAAAGAACACCACTTGTTACCTACAGCTGACAGCTGAAACCGGGGTAACAGTTTATAATTATAACCCACTTTCCACCAGTCATGGAGAATGATCTCTCATTGTTTACAGACCTGAAACAACTTCTCACCAACAACTATGCACCACTTAACAGATACACAAAATTGGGAACCCTGCAGCAAACCAACTTTGTCCCCATACACCGTCAGGCAGTATTGTACAGAACCTAGCAATATCAGCTTGCTCATCCTGAAATGTAACATATGCTGACATGGGCTGACAAAGCCCTTTGACATTGGACAAAACAATGACTAGACAACAATTTGACAGTAAAAACCACAATATTCAGAAACCAGAAGGGCACAATTTTTAATTTTTCAGGGCATTTCATGATCTTACAGTCACTGTTCTCTTCCAGAAGAATTTCCAAGGCGACACAGAAAGGGAAATTGCTGCCTTATCATTCATGAAAAAGTCTAACACTATCTCTTAGCTAGGACTTAACAGGGATCTGTCATTTCATACTCACTATAAGTGCTAATATCTTGCATTTCCCATGACATATGTTAATTACTCCAGCTATATCTCTGCAACTTCCTACTGTATCTGCTTATCTCATGTCATCCTGTACTAGATTTACATTCCTATGCATCTGACTAAGAAAAGTTTATGTTGGAATAAATTTGATTAATCTTCAAGGTGCCATCGGACTCCTGTTGTATTTCGCTGCTACAGACTAACGTGGCTAGGCTACCCATCAGGAAACTGCATTTAAAAATGATGCCTAAAAATGCTCACAGAACTATATCTAATATGCTATTGTACCCTAAGAGTTAACATTTAGGGTGGTGGGTTTTTTAGATTTTAAATCCCCAAATTTGAAAATGTTCCACAAATTTGAGCTAGACTTCCTTTCAGCTTCCGAGGTAGAAATGATTCTGAGGGCTGAAGTTCACTGTTTGATTGTTGTGACAGGAGAACACAGAAATTTTCTTCAGCCAAACAGGAGCCAATCAGAACAGCACTTTGAACAAGCCAACAGGAGCTGGTATACTGGGAAATGTTAAGATTTGACAGGGGGAGGTTTAGTCAGGAACAGTGTTCCCTCTAAGCTGAGTTTGGGTGAGCTAGCTCACAGTTTTTTAGCCTCCAGCTCACACATTTTTGCCTTAGCTCAGGAAGGAGGGGCTCTAGAGCAAACTAATTGATGCAGTAGCCAAATTGCTCACTCACAGCTTTAATGCCAGTCGCTCACAAAGTAGAATTTTTGCTCGCAAGACTCCACAGTTTAGAGGGAGCATTGGTCAGGAATTAGGTTATGTGGGTTGAGAGTTAAAGGTTGGTAATGAGAGAAAAGAGTCAGCTTAAAAGAAGTGTGAATTAAAGATCTGAGAAGACACCATGTCTTTGGTTAAGTTTTCCTGAGGAACTGAGTATACTAAGGTGTCTCAGTATGCCAGCAACATATGCTGGATCTGGTGTGTAATTTAGTTGCAGTAGATTAGTGTATTTCTATGTTACAAACCTGTCTGAGACCGTGTTTTTCCTAAGGCATGTACTATTAAAAACTGAAGAACGTAAGAGCCCTGCTGGATCAGACCAGTGGTTCATCTAGTCCAGCATCCTGTCTCACATAGTGGCCAACCAGTTCTTCTGGAGGGCCAGCAACAGGGCATTTATTTTATTTTAATTTATTTATTTTCCAATTTATACCCTGCCCTCTCTGCCAGAGCAGGCTCAGGACGGCTAGAGGCCAAGGCCATCCCTTGATGTTGCCTTCTGGCTCTGGGATTAGGAAGTTGACTGCCTTTGAATGTGGAGGTCCCCTTTAGTCACCATAGCTAGTAGCCACTGATAGACCTATCCTTCCTTTATGAATCTATCTAATTGTTACATCCTGCGGCTATCATTATAGCCTCTGGCAGCGAATTCTACATTTTAATCACTCTTCGGGTAAAGAAGTATTTCCTTTTGTCCCTCCTCAATCTACTACCCTTCAGCTTCAGTGGATGTCCTCAAGTCTATTATTTTGGGAGATTTAACATCCAGGAGAGCTAACCTAACATCTCACAACTCCCGGTTAAGAGTTAGTATTTATCTCTGCTGTATGTGTTGTTCCCGACCCCCCCAATGAAATTTATTTTTGCTCAGTTGTAAAAAAGCAAATCATGTGTTTTCTGGCAGTTTACCTCATCATCATACAGTTAGCTATCCTGGCTAGAGTGAGTTTCTATGGATTCTATCGCCTCAAATTTTTAAAAATCCTGCTGAGTGCTCCAGGGCAGTAGGGTAGGCAGGAACCTGTAACAGAAAAATCCTGTGGTGATTCTAGCCCCAGAAACCCATCACTCTCCTAGGTAGAGATGCTAGTGTAGTAACACCAGTGCCGGTGGGACGAGAGTGTGTTATTCATCCTATGGTGGCATCGTCATGCATGGAGGTTTGAGCTTTATATGTCATGTGTTCCATCTACCTGCAATCCCTTCTTTTCAGCTGTTTTCTACAGATGGTAATCTCAGTCTCTAGTGCCAGTTGGTTATTCAGCTGCTCCTGAAAATCTCGTTGCAGTCGAGTGAACTTATCTCTGGCCTTCTGAAGGGCATGTTCCAAGTCATGAAGTTTTTCGTTGGCATCTTGGAGGGCACAATCACCACGTTGCTCAGAATCAGCAATGGTTTCCTGCAGCCTGGTGTTCTGGGTGAAAAAGGAAAAATCTAATTCTCAACATTGCCAAATTTGATGATAATTAAATCTGGAGACTGGAACCATGAACAGACAAGGCAAATCTTTCTGTAAACCTGAAAAACACCCCAAGTTTGCAGAAAAATCTGAAACCTAACCCCCCCCCAAAAACATGGTAACCGCCCCCCAAAAAGGAGAAACTTTTGTAGCTTTAAGAAATGAATGCCCCCAGCAGCAATTGCTAGGCAACCACACAATATCACCAGCATTCAAGCCTTGGTTTCTGTCAGTAAAGGCATGGGGAGGCAGCAGGGCCCTTTCCATGTCTATTATGACCTTTGAGTGAGAACTGATTAGGGCCACACCTAGCAGTAGCCACTGGGCAACCTGATACCACAAGACTTGCATAAGTTACCCAGAACTGGCTGCTTGCAACTTCTCAACAGCAGCCCCCCATATAAACCAGTGTGGTGTAGTGGTTAGAATTTTAGATTAGTATCTGGGAGAGCCAACTTCAAATCACCACTCTGCCACGCAAGCTCACTGGCTGACCTTGGGCCATTTAAACATTCTCAGACTAACATATCTCACAGAGCAGTTGTGAGGATAAAACAGAGAAGAGAATTATTTAAGCTGCTTTGGGTCCCTATTGTGAAAAGGGTTGGGTGAAGTGAAATAATAAGTATAGCTGAAGATGCAGGGGCAGATAAGAGAGGTAGGTTTGTTGGTGGGTGGAAAGGAGAGAAGGAAGCAGGGAAAAGTGAGGATGTGGAGGGATATAGGAAACATTGTGGGGAAGGGAATGGGAAATGAGGTACCCCACAAGTCTTTTCAGGTTCCCAACCATGCAGCTGAGTCCAGTGGCCATCGACACACAACTGGGCCCAGCCCAGTGGCTGGTATCACAAAACTGGGCCATAATTTTCTCAGGTGGAGGTTGCCAGCTGAAGGGGGAAAGAGGGAAAGCTGAAGACAGCAGCAGGGAAGATAAGAGCTAGGTTGGCTGGTCAGTGGGATGGATATGTAGAGACAGGACTTTCAGGGAAAGGAGGACCGAAGAAAGAGTGGGGCAGTATAAAGTGAGATCCCCCACACAAGTACTTGCAGGTCCCCCACTTGTAGAAGCATGTTCAACCATGGTTTCTTGACTTTGCAGATACAAGACTGTAATTAGGGTTCCCTCAAAAATCTCCCCTGGTTTCAGAATCCTGAATGACTTTGTCTAGTTTCTGATGTGTTAGGAAAAGGTGCTGGTGTGAATAGATGCAAAAGCTGTACGACACAGCTGTATGACACAAAATACGAACATGGAATGTGAGTATTATGAATCAAGCTAAGCTCAGCTCAAAATCATAAAATGAGAAATAGACCAGTTAAACATCAGGATCCTGGGTGTGAGTGAACTGAAACAGATAGGATTAGGACCTTTTCAGTCAGAAAATTACAGACTATAAACACTAGAAATGCTCTACCTACATTCAGATTCTGAAAAGGAGGAGATATCAAATATTTCAGCCACTATTGGACCATCATATTAATTTCCCAAGCAAAGTGATGCTCACAAATTTACAAGACTCTTACCATATATGGAACAATAATTGCCACATGTTCAAGCTGGATTCAGAAAAGCAAGAGGGCCAGAGATCATATTGCAAATTTACAATGGTTACTTACTGGAGCATACCAGAGTATTCCAGAAGAAAATCAGTTTGTGTTTTATAGATTACAATTTTAAAAGAGAAGGGTGTGACTGAACAACTGATTGCTTTGATGTACAACCTGTACTCTGGACAAGAAAAGCTATGGTTAGGACAGAATATGGGGACATGAAATGGTTTCCAGTTGGCAAAGGTATCAAAAACATATTTTATATATCTACCTGCTGATACTATGAAAACTATTAGGTTCAGATGGAGGTGGAATGAAAATTGGTAGAAGTCTCCAAAGCCTCGCAAAGCCCTGATGACAGTCAACAGTTTGCAGCCAGGAGTCCAGGCACTGGCCCATCAGCCAGGCTCTGTCTTCTAACAGAAGGGAGGGACAGTGGCTGCAATTCAGAACACAGGTCAATCATGCCTTCCTTCCCTTTTTTCTTTAAAAATTACAGGGCCATTGGCTGAGAGGAAGAGCCTAAAACTAGGGTTGCCAGGTCCTTACCTGATGCTCTCCGGGATTTTTTGGTGCATAACACTTTGTGCACAAACCACAATGATGTCACCCAGAAGTGACTTCTTCACCCTAAGAGTGATTAACACATGGAATTCACTGCCACAGGAGATGGTGGTGGCCTCAAGCATGGACTACTTCAAAGGGGAATTAGATAAACATATGGAGCAGAAGTCCATCAGTGGCTATTAGCCACAAGGTATAGATAGGAACTCACAATCTTGGTGCTTGGGGGGGAGCAACAGTGGGAGGGCTTCTAGTGTCCTGGCCCTACTGGTGGACCACCTGATGGCACCTGGTATTTTTGGCCCCTGTGTGACAGAGTGTTGGACTGTATGGGCTTCTCTTATGTTCTTATGACATCATCACTCCAGGCATGTCATGCAGGAGACACTGTAGCATTTGACTAAAAATTCTATGGTCACCATAGAGTTTTTAGCCAAATGCTGGAGCATCCCCCGTACAATGTGCTCAGTGTGATGACATCACCTCCTGGTGACATGATCACACCGGACACATCAGGTGCGACGAGGCTCTTTGGGGGTGGGGTTACCCCACCAGCCAGCTGGCCAGTGGCGAATTGGGGTCCCTGAAAGCACGGAAAACCCCACCCCCATTGGGGGGATGGCAACCAATGCTCCCTCTAAGCTGTGAAATCTTGTGAGCAAAAATTCTACTTTGTGAGCTACTGGCATTAAAGTTGTGAGCCAGTAATTTGGCTACTGCATAAATTAGTTTGCAAAATGTGTGAGCTGGAGGCTAAAAAACTGTGAGCTAGCTCACTCGAACTCAGCTTAGAGGGAACACTGTTCCTGACTAAACCTCCCCCTGTCAAATCTTAACATTTCCCAGTATACCAGCTCCTGTTGGCTTGTTCAAAGTGCTGTTCTGATCGGCTCCTGTTTGGCTGAAGAAAACACTGATAGCAACCCTACTTAAAACCCAAAAAGACACCTGAAATTCTGGGAGATAACTTTTTTTTAGACTCGGAATTCCAGGAGTGTATGTTTTTACTTAGATATAATAGAGCTTAATTTCGGTATATTTTTGGCTTGGGTATATGCAAATGTACACCCCTACTATAGATTTCCAGATCTGCACTACAGGAAACAGTGAAGGAAAGATAACCAAGCACACATATCATTTTAAAAATGGGGAAGAAGGATAGGGTGCATATGTCTAGCTTCAGACCAACAAAGTTGTATTCAAGGTATACGCTTTGTGTGCACAAACACTTCTTCAGATACAGTGAATTTGTCTAGCTTCAATTTGCTAAGATACTCTATAAGGAACAAGGATGCTCATCTCAGTGACCATCTGGCAGTCCTAGGATTGAATGTTATTTTTCCATTAACTGTTTTTGTTCTTCCTCATCCAATGGGGGAAAAATAAAGTGGCATCCAGGAAGAGAATAAGAATAACCAGCCAGAGCCAGTGTTTCACTCTTCAGAGATAAAGTACGGTAAACATCTAATTTCAATTGGAAATAAATACATTTCTGATTCTTATCCTGAAAAAAACATTTATCTACACAAAAGACTGCCATTGATTATGATAATTAGATTTGTTAAATCAATAAAATGTCCCAAATCCCATTCAGTTTCTCAAACAGTTCTGAAGGTGAGGGTGAGCTGCTGCCTAACCTTTTTCTTGAGCTTTCCAATTTCCATCTTTAGTGTTTGGATGCGGTGGGTCAGTTCTTGGAGCTCCTGGTGGCTGTTGAGCAGGTGTTCACGGTGTATGCAGCACATGGTATGAAGTTCCTCATACTGAAACAGGACCATGAGAACATGGTTAAGGAGGTTCCAAATCGATATATATACACATATACATTGAGTGTTGGAGCTGACAAAGATTACTCCATGTTGTGCCTGTGTACAAACTTCCTTACAATTTCTTAGAGGGAACACTGATGGCAACCTTACTTAAAACCCAAAAAAACACCTGAAATTCTGGGAGATAACTTTTTGTTAGACTCGGAATTCCAGGAGTGTATGTTTTTACTTCGATATAATAGTGCTGAGGCAAAGTGGTTAATTTTGGTATATTTTCGGCTTGGGCAATATGCAAATATGCATCCCTACTATAGATTTCCAGATCTGCACTACAGGAAATAGTGAAGGAAAGATAACCAAGCACCCATATCATTTTAAAAATGGGGAAGAAGGATAGAGTGCATATGTCTAGCTTCAGACCAACAAAGTTGTATTCAAGGTATAAGCTTTGTGTGCACAAACACTTCTTCAGATACAGTGAATTTGTCTAGCTTCAATTTGCTAAGATACTCTATAAGGAACCAGGATGCTCATCTCAGTGACCATCTGGCAGTCCCAGGAATGAATGTTATTTTTCCATTAACTGTTTTTGTTCTTCCTCATCCAATGAGGGGAAAAAATCAAAGTGGCATCCAGGAAGAGAATAAGAATAACCAGCCAGAGCCAGTGTTTCACTCTTCAGAGATAAAGTACGGTAAACATCTAATTTCAATTGGAAATAAATACATTTCTGATTCTTATCCTGAAAAAAACATTTATCTACACAAAAGACTGCCATTGATTATGATAATTAGATTTGTTAAATCAATAAAATGTCCCAAATCCCATTCAGTTTCTCAAACAGTTCTGAAGGTGAGGGTGAGCTGCTGCCTAACCTTTTTCTTGAGCTTTCCAATTTCCATCTTTAGTGTTTGGATGCGGTGGGTCAGTTCTTGGAGCTCCTGGTGGCTGTTGAGCAGGTGTTCACGGTGTATGCAGCACATGGTATGAAGTTCCTCATACTGAAACAGGACCATGAGAACATGGTTAAGGAGGTTCCAAATCGATATATATACACATATACATTGAGTGTTGGAGCTAGCACAGATTACTCCATGATGTGCCTGTGTACAAACTTCCTTACAATTGATCTTAAGGAAAACCAGTTATGCATATTTGAGGAAGATGTTGCCTCTAACATCTTATATTCTAATAGTGAAGTCAGCCTAAATTGAGGATACTCAGGGCTTTTTTTTGTAGGAACTCATTAGCAGGAACTCATTAGCATAATAGGTCACACCCAACAGCAGAAACTCATTAGCATATTAGGCCACACCCCTGATAGCACAGCTCATTAGCATATTAGGCCACACACCATGTTACCAGAAGTGTGGTCATTCGGCCACACCCACCTTTTGCTTCTTATTCTGTTTACCTTGTTTGTTGTCCAAACCCAGGGCTTTTTTTGTAGCAGGAACTCCTTTGCATGTTAGGCCACACACCCCTAATGTAGCCAATTCTAATACGTTTCTGCTGTTGGGTGTGGCCTGTTATGCTAATGAGCTCCTGCTGGGCATGGCCAACTCAGGAGCCAACCGGAACTCCGTTCCTGTGCGTTCCTGCCCAAAAATAGCCCTGATACTTAAATCCAGTGACTGGAGCTGTAGAAAAGAGAGACCTTTCTACAAACCTAAAAAATGCTCCAAGTTTGCAGAAAAATCTGAAACCTTAAAAAAACGGGGGGGACCCATCTTTGTCATCTGAAGATCAGTTGTAATTCTGGGAGCTCTCCAGGTCCCACCTGGAGGCTGGCAATCCTTGCCCTGGCAGCGACCACTAGGTGACTGGATACCACTTCAACTGATGATTCAACGAGGCCTAGCTGCTTGCTGCTGTTTAGCCACAGCCACTGCATGAAAGCCAGCGTGGTGTGGAGGTTAAAGCTTCAGAACTGGATCTGGGAGACCCAGGTTCAAATTCCCATCTTCCTGTGGAAGCTCACTGGGTGATTTTAGGTTGGTCAATACTTTCAGCCTAACCTACCCCACAGGGTTGTTGTGAGGTTAAAAAGGAGGAGAGGAGAATAATATAAGCTGCTTTGGTCCTCATGGTGGAGAAAGGTATGTTATAAATGAAGCAAATAAATAACTAATAAAGCTGAAGATGGGAGGGAGATAAAAGGAAGGCTGGTGAATGGCTGCGAGGGAGAGAATGAGGCAGGGAAAGGGAAGAAGTTATGAGGGTTTGCAGAAGGGGGAAAGAGGAAATAGTTGGGGGAAAGGGGATACAGGGGAAAGTGAGGTGCCCCCCACAAGTCCTTCAGGGTTCACTACCACCCAAGTGAGTTTTGCCCAGTGCCACACCTCTCTAGTAATCACTGGAAACTCCATGGCAAAACCATAGAGTTTCTAGTGATTCCTAGAGAGGAATCCATGGTTTTCCCTTAAGTGACATCACACCATCACCAACTGTAATTTTTTTCCCTATTTTTCCCCCCACAGGACTGCCAGTGGGGGGTGGGAGGTCTCCTGTCCTCAGCAGGCACATACCAAATGCTGACCGAAGGAAGACAGCTGAGAGCCGAGGCAGCCGGAGACCGGAGGCCAGAAGTGAGAGCCGCCACCACCGGGGTGCTAGGTAGGCTGACCCAACCCCTGAGAATGTGCCCATAGTTAGGGAATTACAAAGTGACTAGCACTACAAACTGTAAACCGCCCAGAGACCCCCATGGGGGGGTTAGGGCGGTATATAAATCGAATGATAAATAAAAAAAAACTGCAGATATCATACATGCAAGTGCTTCGGTGATCTGGTGATCTGGAGTGTCTGTGGCTCCCTATTGCTACCACTAATCTTTGCTAAACAACTCTGTATTATGTATTGCAGTGTCATCCCTTCTAGTGACCCCTTTTAGGAACCTACTTTGTCAGCTGTACGAACCAAGAGAAAGTGGCCATTAGCAATACTAATGGACTGAATGCGCCAACAATGTCATCCTAAGCAGAGCTACACCATTGCCTTATATGGAATTAGAAGAGTGTATCTGCTTAGGTTGGAACTGCCAGCTAACAAGGTACAGAGTAAATCTAATTCAAATATAAACACTTCCTGATGACTGAATACTGTATTCATCTAGGTCAAAGCAACTGGCATTTTAAATAGATCTGAGAGCCATCCATCATTCTTGAGCTCAAAGCAACACAACTGTATTTATTAAAGTGTTCAGGCCCTGCAGTGTCCTACTGCAATTCACAACTCACTTTGCCTTGGCACCGTGCATCCACTTCTTCTTTGCTCCTCTGCGCAATCTCTTCATATTGGCACCTAACCTCTTCCAAGAAGTTGTCTATATTCAGGTTTCCATGCTTATTCATGAAGACAATGTCACTGGGGCCATCATGGACTCTTCTCTGAAGTTCCGTTAGCTCCTGAAAGCAATATTAAATCTTCCAAGTTTGTATGTGTCTTCCCAGGCAAGAGAATGGAGAATTAATGTGCAATTACAGTCCCAAACTAAACAAAGCTACATCCTTCAAAGACCATTAATTTAAACAGACACAGAAGAGTATAACTCTGCTTAGGGTTACAGTGTTAGGATCCTTGAAATATATAACTGTGTTAAAATAAAAAGCCAAGTCCAAAGAAATACCTGAATTTGTAATATCAGCAGACTACACATTGGTTCATGACTAAAACTGAATAACCCCCCTCACCCACCAGACCTCAGCACCCTAGACTCTGCAGCAAGGAAAAGGCTCTTTCAATGCAGAGTTTAGGGCCACTGTGACATCAGCGGCTTCTAAAGCAATCTCTCCCCCCCCCCGTCCTCTCCCATCCTCAAGTATATATAATCCTGTTTTGGTCATGGACTCCCCTGAACATTCCAACACGCTCCAAAATCAGTTCGCTCTCTGATCTGTCATTCATAGGGTCTCCCTATCCACTGGCTGCTTTGCCTGAGTCCTGCCTCCAACATTCTAAACAGTTTGCTCTTCCTCTCCCCCCCACAGCCAGTCAGAACACAGAGGTCATTTGCATATGTGGCCTGATTCGCCTTTGCCTTGGAACACAGAGGTCGTTTGCATACGCGGCCTCACTGGCCTTTCCCTCTAACATTCTAAACAGTTTGCTGTTGATGTTCTGAGGTAAAATAAATTTCCCCTTAGTGTCTGTTGGGGGAAACCATGGTTGCAAATCTCCAGGTGGGGGCTGAAGATCACACAGAATTACAACTGCTTTCCAGATGGCAGAGATCAGTTCCCCTGGAGAAAATGGTGGACTCTGTGTCCTTATATCCTGCTGAGATGGCTCCTGTATGACAGCCAATGTGACGTAGCAGTCAGGGCTTCGGCTATTAAAATTGATGTCCAGATGACCCAGATCAGGTCTCTTGGAAACAATGGCTGCTTTGGGCAGTAGATTCTATGGCATTATACCCTGCTGAGGTCC